AGGTTTTATCAACATTTAATTACTACACATGCTGACTACAGCCACTCACAAGCAGCCCGGCAACCCATTCAGCCAATCACAGTGCTCCTGGAACTCACTCGACTAATCACAAGCATTCAGCCAATCACTAATAACCTGGCTCACTACAGCCAATCACAAGCACCCGAGCAACGCCGCCAGCCAATCACCAGCTCCCATTCTGCCTCCAAATATAGAATGAACACACAAATTAAATAACAGAATCCCATTGAGCAGAAGCAGAAACGGTCAGGGTGGGTCAGCCGGACCAAAAAAAAAAGTTTAAAAAATGTAAAGTGACATGACATGTGACCAAGTATGGTTGCCCATGCTAGGAATTAGTGCTCTGCATTTAACCCATCCTAAGTGCACACACACACTGTGAACACACACCCGGAGCAGTGGGCAGCCATTTATGCTGCGGCACCCGGGGAGCAGTTGGGGTTCGGTGCCTTGCTCAAGGGCACCTCAGTCGTGGTATTGAAGGTGGGAGAGAGCGCTGTACATTCACTCCCCCCACCTACAATCCCTACCGGACCTGAGACTCGAACTCACAACCTTTGGGTTACGAGTCCAACTATTAGGCCACAACTTCCCCATTAGTAGTGTACTTATTAATAAGCTGTAACAGCCGAATCTGTTCAAAAAAAGGCCCCAAACCCCACGAGGACTTGTTCCAAACAGCAGCGTAATGAGACCTGCAAAAGTCAACATGACTTCAGGCGAGTCCTGGCGCTCAGTCATCGAACAGCGTGTCCTGTTCAGCAATGAATTTGTCATTCTACAGGACGTCCCAAAGGTAACAGCACGTATGCGCTCAAACGGTGAGCCAGTACAGAGATGACGTAGGCTACTAATGGTATGTCTAATGGTACTAATCTGTATTAATGGTGCCAGTACAGAGAGAAATGAAATGACCAGGACACTGAGAAAATCCAGATGCTACAACCGCACCGGGCGACGGCAAAACACAGCAGCAGACAGGAAAAATCCTGGGTGTCCCCACTGTAAACCCAGCAAGCACATGGACACCGTGTTCCACCCGCGTTCCACGAGATGCCAAAACGAACGCTGTTCATCATTTCCTAAAGAATTTGCGAATTCTGCAAAGTGGCTTGTTAAGGAGCTGACAGCGATCCTCCAGAGGAAGCACACGCAACAGCTTTACAGTGATTTAGACTCATTCAGGGGCAGTAAAACTTCATCTACAACACATGTTCCAGCAGTAAACAGCACGCCAACAAGGAGCATCCTGGGACACAACTGAAGCTGTGAACTTTGACCCAAACGCAAGAAAAGCGCCATGCTGCTATCGGTCAAGTTCGCGCCACATGCGTCCGATGTGTGTCATGGAATCTGAACGCTCGTTTTCATGAAACACAAAGAGAGAGAGACATTCTTGGCTTTATTGTCTGCATCACGCCCGCTGCTAGCACAACTGTCGCAGACGGACCCTGGCGAGCCGCGAGTATCTGGCCCGTCGCTAACCATGTGCAGTTACTCAACATCTGCTTCTGATATTGTGTACTTGGTACATTCTGAAATGATTTCTCTCCCGCATTTGTCCTGCTTCTGTCGGTCGTACCAGTGCATGAATGAGATTCAGTTTAATGTCATCTGTATCTAATGTATCTAATGTAATTAGATACGGATCATCACATACTGTACATAAACATCTGCTATAGGGCTTGACATACGCTTTCAGTCAAATAAGTTCTGATCCACATTGCAGCTTATTTTGGTCAAGACATGCCCACTAATAAAAGAACATATGACTGACAAGTAAAGCAACCAATCTCTGTTCTGATGAAGTGTTAAGGGCAAGATCATCTGATATTGATTACTGTATAATAAAATAGAAGAAAAATGAAGCTGACACAAAATGGGAAACCATTTTGAATGTTGTTGACCTTATTGTGACTGATTTAACTATACAGACGTTTATTCATTTTACAAATTTGACCTCGCAAGTTTTTTATTAAAATATCATGGCTTCAAGAATATCATAACTTGACCTTCTAGTGAACTGATAAGACTAATCTATGATGCCGTATTTCAGACTTCAATCACTTTGTGTGCTTAAGCCCTGTCCCTTTTGTATAATTAACCACAAGCTTGCATTCAGACCTGCCTCCATCCAATCGTTAACCAATAGATGGAACCAAGACCCCGCCCTTTTTCGTTTTTTGATCAAATTACGTCCCAAACTGGAAGAACAGATGTGTCAATAGGGTTGCAAAGGGGTGGAACATTTCTGGTAAATTTCCGGAAACTTTCCAAAAAATCCCTGGAATATTCCAAAAAAATTCTGGAAAGTTTCCAAAATTTCTGGAATATTTCCGAAATTTACTGGAAATGTTCCACCTTTTTGCAACCCTACGCGTCAATAAGACTTCTCTGTGATGATGTATTTCATATTTCTTCAATCATTGCGCTTGCTTAAACCCCGCCCCTTTCGTATAATCGACTGCAAGCTTGCATTCAGATCTGCCGCCATCCAATCAGCAACCAACGGATGGAACCAAGACCCCGCCCTTTTTCTTTTTTGATAAATTTACGTCAGTTCAGAAGAACAGATCTGTTGTTAGTTCCGTTACATCGGGACTTTAAATCACAGCGCAAAGTACAGAAAATCCCAAACTTCAGAGAAATAAAACACTTGATGCCACTTAAATGCTAAACTTTGTTCTTACTTCTTGCTTTGTGAACCTGGTACGACGGCCTCGTTTCCAGATGGACCAATTTGAAAAAAAAAATGGTACTTCACTCCAGGAAGCTGACAGCCAATCAGATTGCCAGATCAAAAAGTCTGAAAGCTTGCGACTTGTCCCAAAACAACTACATTAAATAATTATAAAAATGGGACAAGGCATCAGAAATATGAAGTCAACTATATAGTGATTCATAATTTCTGCATGACCCTGACCTGTGGAAAAAGAAGGTTTTTTTCAGCTGGACGTATGTTTCTCTGATTATTCTTCATTACAGGTGAAGCGCTAAGTTACAAATGATTATAACACAAGCTATTTGTGCTAAGGTTATTGATGATTCATTAAATCACTGATTATTTGTTGTGTTAATATTTAACCCGATCAGGAACAGTAATAAAGCAAGCAAACAACAAATAATTAACCTAAACCAAATATGCTGCAGCACCAGTTCATGGTAAAATTTTATTTTAATGCAAATGCCACTTCTACTATTTGAACTGAACTGAGCTGGATGATCACTGAATTCAATGTTTTTTTTTTTGCATTAAATTATTATTTTTTTGCATAAAAAATTGCATTTTTGCAAATTTTGCATTACTGACACTATCTTACTATTTAATACTGTAAAGCTGCTTTGACACAATCTGTATTGTTAAAAGCGCTGTATAAATAAATGTGACTTGAGTTGACTTCAAACATCATCCAAATATTGCTAAATATAATGCCAATAAATACAGCTGAGATTGACAATACTGTTATTTCAATAGTATACTTCTAATTTGCCCACACATTAATGTTTTTTAGGTTTTATCAACATTTAATTACTACACATGCTGACTACAGCCACTCACAAGCAGCCCGGCAACCCATTCAGCCAATCACAGTGCTCCTGGACCTCACTCGACCAATCACAAGCATTCAGCCAATCACAGTGCTCCTGGAACTCACTCGACTAATCACAAGCATTCAGCCAATCACTAATAACCTGGCTCACTACAGCCAATCACAAGCACCCGAGCAACGCCGCCAGCCAATCACCAGCTCCCATTCTGCCTCCAAATATAGAATGAACACACAAATTAAATAACAGAATCCCATTGAGCAGAAGCAGAAACGGTCAGGGTGGGTCAGCCGGACCAAAGCAGAAGTCATTTATCATCATCAGCTGAGACGAAAACCCTCAACATCAGTGTCCTGACTGCACTCAGCAAGAGCGCCACCATGTGGCTCACAGCAGAACTGCAGACAACTGGGATGAAAACGGCATGTTTTTGACATAAATGCACAAGGGCCGGATTCACCAGACATTCTGAAGACCAAAACTTTTTATTTTTAAATATAAATATTAAATATACATAGACCGACAGATGGACAAATTAATCAAATTAAATCAACTAAAAGTATTTTTTTATTCTTTTCTAACTTATGAATAAAATTAAGAATATTTTGTATTCCCAAAAACATTTCTTAAGAATGTCCTTCCCGTCAAGACTTCTTATGATTATTATGGCTTATTATGATTAATACGATAAGATGTTTTTCATTAAACTGATAAGCAAGTCTTTGGTAAAATAGTATAAAATACCCAAATATTAAATTATTATTAAAATATGAATAAATTATTTATAATTTTTTAATTATTAAAATAATTCTTAAAATTGTAAAATTATTTTTCTTCTTAAGAAAATAAGATGACTAGATTATGACGCACACCCTTTAATAATTAGATATTAAATAATAGATAGTAATTTCATGTTGTTATATTAATAATATTCAATCTTAATAGTATTACAAACGAATATACAGACATTAAATAGATATTAAAATATCATTTTAAACTAAATTATCATTATGACAATTTTTCATTTTAAATTATTAGAATTTTCTTTAAAAAAACAAAAACAAATGCTGCATAATGATGCACACACCGAACTTTAATAATCAAGTGTTATATAATAGATAGTAATATATATATATATATATTAAATTAAATAGACAATAAATGATTATTATTCAAATATTACATTTTTCATTTCAAATTAATGGCATTTTCTTATTATCTACTTAAGAAATAAAATATGTTCTGAAGAGAATATTTGAGAACTTGTATCTAGGAAGTTTCTTATGAGCTGCTTAGAATTGATCTTAACGCAATCATTTCTTGAATTAGTTTTATATTTGACATTATAAGAACGTGGGACAGATATTGGGACTCTTCCCAGTCAACTCAATGCAACCTAAAGACAAATATTCATAAGCCCGGAGACTTACGCTCTTCTGAAGATGGTGCGGTTCTCCCGGTGTTTGCTGAACACTTTGGGCAGAAACTTCAGGGTGACTTTGACTGCTCTGGCTTTTCTGATCATCCACATGCCCTTAAATACACAGGACGAAACAGAGCCCATGTTTGCACCTGGTTTTGATGTGTGCATCAGGAACAGATCTTCACAGGCCTCACCTCCTTCAGGTGTCGATGGCTGCCGAGCATGACGGCGTCTCTGTTGGACTGCTGTGACAGTCGAGCCGTGTCCTCCAGAAACCTGTAATCTACACCACAGCACCTCAGTGATCACATCCATCCAGCTGTTTCTGTAAAGACGGAGCAGACAGGCTACTCACCGCTGAGCAGGCTGATTTCATTCAATTCAGCGAGAGGGACAAACGCCGTCGTGTCCCGAACACCACAGCATCCCGACAGAGTCTTGTGCTGCTTGACGCAAGCCAAACTACACAGAAAACCAAACAATAACCCAACAACACTAAAAACACATTAAAAGAAAGTTGTACTGTTATTAAAGTGTCAAAACTTATTATAACTCAGAGGTTCGATCGCAGTACTAACACCAAAATGGCGGAATACGTAACTCGGGGGAGAAGAATTGTTGAATAAATTGTTATTTTTGTTTTCTTCGCGCACAAAAAGTATTCTCGTAGCTTCTCAGAATTGAAGTTGCGCCATTGAAGTCACATGGACTGCTTTACACGTTATGGACATTTCTGGACCTGGGAACATTACAGTCAGAGAGCTCTCAGATTTCATCAAAAATATCTTAAAGGGGTCATATGATGCTTTTTAAAGATCATTATTTTGTGTATTTGGTGTAACAGAATATGTTGACATGCTTTAATGTTCAAAAAACACATTATTTTTCAAATACTGTACATTATTGTAGGTCCTCTATGCCCCGCCTCTCTCAAACGCTTCGTTTTCTACAAAGCCCCTCCTTCCGACAAGCAGTCTGCTCTGATTGGCCAGCTGACCCAGTGCATTGTGATTGGCCGAACACCGCAAGCACTCGTCGGAAATGTAACGCCCCTTACCATAATCGCGAGCTTCATCTTTCAAAATAAATGTAAAGACAGAGCCCGAAAGGGGAACAGAGTTGCGTGACAGACACAGTGATGAAGACAGCTTAACCTTGCCACGGTTAAGACAGCTGACCCCACAGTGATGTGATGCGTGCTCTCTCTCTCTCTCTCTCTCTCCCCCTCTCTCTCCCTCTCTCTCCCTCTCTCTCCCTCTCACACACGCGCGTGCGCACGCACACACACACACGATGCGCAAAACTCTGCATTTGAACAGTCAATAGCAAATACTTAAACTAATAACAAAACAGTAGCTGATTCAGAAGCGCCAGATTGTCATAGCAAAGTCAGAATGACCTCCCCTCCTAGGTTCACGAAACGGTTGTCCATAAAATGCATTGCTGTTCTGTTGTAAGTGATCTTAAAGATTCCTAAATGCATCTACTTTCGGAAGGCCAAATAAAGTGCTTTTGCTTTCGCCTAGAAACACACAGCGTCTCCCTGACATGCTGCTTCAACACTAACTGCGGTTACTGAAACCACGCCGCCTTTCTTTGCTAAACATTTGGGAGCATTATGCAAATATTTCCACATAGTGAGGTAGATATGTGGGGGCGTGTTAGAACGAGGTGTTTTAGGGGGGCGTGGCAGAGTCTTAACTTTGATAAAGAATATCTCTTTGGTTTTGAGACTTTAGTCTTTGCAACTTCAGGGATCTTATCTATGCACAATCAGCTTGTAACCGCATCATATGACCCCTTTAATTTGTGTTCTGAAGATGAACGGAGGTCTTACGGTCTTATTTTCATTTTTGGGTGTACTGTCCCTTTAAATAATAGATCAATTATAAACAGGGGTCTGATCACAGCATTAACACTGACTACAGTGATGCAAGACTTCACAACAGCATTACACTGATTGTCATTAATAGTGTACAATAAGCCTGTGTAAAGTTACAGCCAGGTGTGTGTGTGTGCGTGTGAGAGAGTGTGTGAGTGTGTGTGTGAGAGAGAGTGTGTGTATGAGTGTGTGTATGAGTGTGAGTGTGAGAGAGTGTGAGTGTGAGCGTGTGTGTGAGAGAGTGTGTGAGCGTGTGTGAGCGCGTGTGTGTGTGTGTGTGTGTGTGAGAGAGTGTGTGTAAGTGTGTGTGTGAGAGAGTGTGTATGTGTGTGTGTGTGAGTGTGAGAGCGTCTGTGAGCGTGTGTGTGTGTGAGAGAGTGTGAGTGAGTGTGAGTGTGTGTGTGAGAGAGTGTGTGTGTGTGAGAGAGTGTGAGAGAGTGTGTGAGTGTGTGTGAGAGAGTGTGAGTGAGTGTGTGTGAGAGAGTGTGAGAGAGTGTGAGTGAGTGAGAGTGAGTGTGTGTGAGAGTGTG